TAAATAAATTTGGAAGACTAGAATAATAAAGTACTATCTACAGTTCCAGAGGAACCCACTTTGACTCTATAAACGTTTTCAAAAATGAAGAAAACTTCAAGAATCATCAATTTCAGCATTAACACAGATTGTCACCTCTACTATGTAAAACCTCTTTCTTGGGCAACAATATTTAAAAAAGAAATCTGCCGGTACTTTAATAACAATTTAAATAACTAAAAATTTAAAAAATAACACTCTCCATAGCATCACTAGAAAAAATCTACAAGAAACATTTGCAGCAGCATATTTAGTGTACTTCAATCAAATTTATCTGCTTATTGGAGTATCCACACATACCTTTACAGCACCACTAGGTTCTTTCCAATAACGTTCAGTCTCTCAATGTGAAATTACATAAATTTCAGTGGAAAAAAATTGACACTGAGAAAGACATAAATATTATATATAAAAATTCCACTTCAGTTTGTAACTGCATATTGTCTCCCTGTGCTACTAATGCTGCAGCATAGGTCTCATATTGCTTGTATTTCTGATCACTCGAAACTCCTGTATCAACTTGATTACTACGAAAAGACTAAACAGACAAGACGTAACAGATTAGGTGTTGAAAGCCACTTGACTTTCAATATTTTAAATTTCATACTTCGCAACATCCATTAAGCGGTATGTACCCATACACACATGCACACAAAATCTATCTGAATTTTCATGAGAATATTCAGAGAGATTATCAGAAATTTCAGTTTTCTACAGTCAAAAAAATTAATACATAGCTTTAATGAATATGCTACACGCAAGGTCTTTTGTTCTTATTTCGCATCAGATGGGAAAGAAGATAGTAGCATCAATAAACACTGATGAAAATAGATATAGACGAAGCCAACAGTAATTTCCTGGCATAAAATGTGAGCAAAAGTCAATGTCATTTTAAAGACAAACACGCATTTTTCATACCAATAAATAATGCCATAAATCCTGCCGTACTGGATTGCAAATAACTTCAGCTGAATAAAATTGCATGACACGGGATTTATTTATCCTGTATGTTCACAGAAACAACTTGTTCTCTGACAGCGCTCATTCTTGGCAATTTATTGCAGCTGTCAGCAGCCAATTTGTTCAGATTACTGCTATGCATAAAGGTGTAACAGTCATGAGGATTTATTAGCTGATTATCGTAAAGGTGACAGTCACGATCGCCTTCAAAAACGTGGATGATAAGAAAGTTAAATAATTACATGAAGATTAAAATCATTTCACCTTCATTTTGATCTTCGTATTACCTCCATGAACTTACTGCAGTATATGTTTTTAATCACTGGGGTATATTGACTCAATATGGAAGATTAATGATCTACTCATAGCAAAAACATTAGATGTACTCAGACTGAACACTATATAAACATACACACATATTTCTACTTATCAGATAAAGCAATGAGTAAATACTGCTCATTCAAGTCCACACGCTTATTTGGATGCAAGAATGTTGTCCCTGTGGCTTTAGCTGCTGACGCCTTCTGAAAAAAAGAACTTCTAGACCTCATGTCTCTGGCTCCTGGAATGTTGTTTCTTTAAAAAATGTATGTTCAGAAGAATGTCAACATTTAATCTCCTGCATGGTGAAGCTCAGTTCTGGCCACGACCAGTGTTTCCTCACACACGTCACCCCAAAGCCAGAAACCTGCTTCTACATTCTCAGCCTTCTCAAACATCTTCCCTTCATCTGGTCTAGGGTCTGGGGGGATCTAATAGCTGCCTTCCAGTGCCTGAAAGAAACCTGCAGGAAGGCTAGGGAGGGACTTTTTACAAGAGTGTCCAGCAATAGGACAAGGGGAAATGGGCTTAAGTTAAAGGAAAATGATTTAGACTGGACCTTAGGAAGAAATTACTCTGTATGAGTGTGGCAAGACTCTGGAATGGATTGTCCAGAGATGTTGTGGCTGCCTCCTCCCTGGAGGTGTTTAAGGCCAGGTTGGACAGAGCCTTGAGCAGCCTGATCTAGTCGAAAGGCGTCCCTGCCCATGACAGGGAGGCTGGATTAGATGATCTCTAGGGTCCCTTCCAACTTAGGCCCTTCTATGACTCTATGACATTATTCCTTTCCCCAAAATGGATCGCAAGCCCTAGCCCTTGCTGTCTCAGCACACACATCATCGCCGTCCTGTCACATTCCCAGCTTCATCCTGTCCCTTACCATGATCCAGCCTAACGAGTACGATGACACACTACATTCCTGATCTCCCACTTCTTTCATTCCACTGAAGCACACCTGAGACAAGAGCATCATTTCAGGAGAAGTTACAACAATCTGTTTTGGAATAAAATTTGGCAAGTTACATAGCTTAGCTTGCAAAGAACATCTCAGTTCTAGGAGGCTTCCCATGTTCTCTCCCAGAAGGAACTTGGAGCTGTCCCTTCAACCTTCCATCCGACGGTCCTGTTCCCCTACAGCTAGCTCAGTTTGGAGCTGCTCCACTGGTTTTACGGACGGCGCTCTTCAAAGAGACTCCAAAGCTTGATAACGCCTGTTTTGCATGGGAAGTTCTACAGACCTCCGTCATGCGTGTTCTGCAAGCAGAAGAATATGGAGGACACCCTGGAGGGATTTAGAGGCCGTGTAGATGTGGTGCTCAGGCACACGGCTTGGGGGCAGGCCTGGCAGTGTTGGGTTAACGGTTGGACTTACTGGTCTTAAAGGTCTTCTTCCAACCCAAATACTTCAGTGATTCTATGACATAGAAAATCATCGCTGTGAATGACAGATGAGAACTGCTCCTAAATCAAACTTTTTCTTCTGTTTTCTCAATTTGACCTGCTGCTTCCCTCAATGAGTAAGATCTTTTCAATCAAGCATGGATTCTCCCTAGCTGTACTCTGGCCAGACAGGACGTCTTCAAGAAATAAGAGTTTCCATTTGCATTTAACAAAAATATTCCTATATAACAGCTGCTGCTTGCATGTTATTCAAGAAAGCGGGAAGACTGAAAAGAATTATTCTCCATCACTGAGCAATGCTAGAACACTATCAGCAAGTCTTCTGTTTCCCTCCCACAGCCTCATTATCACTTTTCCTGGAACTCCAATCAAAATACTCAATTTATTTCGTGTGCCTTGAGAGTCACAGGCCCTTAGTCACGGAGCACGATTCAGTCACACTTTACAAAATTAATATATATTCAACATAACACACACACAAAACGAGTCTGTAGTGCCTATGCCAATGTATTTCCAGATTTCAGAGGCAGAAACTGATGAAGAGATGGCAATGTAAAGCAGAGCTGTCAGGTGTTCACGACTTTTATCCACAGTGACTGGAAAAGGGTATCAGGGAGGCAGAATATTAAGACCTATTTCTGTATTTAGATTGAACTTGACAAATGACAAAGTTCTTCATGCAAATCTTCATGGAGAGGAGTTTGTTTGCAGGTTGCATTATTCAGAGATACGGGACCAATAGAAGGTAAAATGAGAGAGCATCTCAAAGGACAAACTGAAGAGAGATCATGTATGCAAGGACATGCAGAAAGGTCACAAAAATCAAGACCAGCAAGATTTCAGATAAAAATACCACTGATTTTGTTAAAATTGGTTATACACTGCAGAACCACTACAGATTAGCTTTGTCCAAGGCATACCTTTTTTGATATATACAAGAAATACATCTATTTAGGAATAGGATAGAAAAGAAAGAAAGAAAAGTTTCGTCTATTATTTTATGCAATGCTGTTCAATAGACTTTACAATTACTGGTAACGGTAACGATGTAAGTGCTGCTTTGATAACTGTTCTGAAAAACCACACCTGAAAACTCTGAATCTCACCATCTTTTGGATAAGAAGGTTAAAGTTAAGCAGAAAATAGGACTAACTTCCCAAGGTGTATCATATGTTGACATAGGACTAAATTATTATGCTATTTCAGAAAAACAGTTATTGCTACCATATGCAGGGAGTGAAATCAAGTAGGGGAAAAAACACAATGTAAACTTCAAATACAAACACGCCTTCCATAGGGTTTCATCATATAAAATAAAATCCTACCACGTATATTTCTGAGAAGTAGTTTTGTCAAGATTAAAGCTGTTTGCTTGCCACAGGATCTGTGTGTATTTTGATTTCCCACAATTTATGGTAGGAAATAAACACAGAATATTATCTGACTGATCTAGTCTGATGAAGAAAGACATTATCTTAAATGGAATGAGAGGGAGGAAAAGGTCAGTAGAAACGTAACCACACTGACAACAAAAGTACACAGCCAGGCCTGTGGGATTTCCGTTCCTGATTTTAACTACCAAAAAAGGTAATTCTACTTGTTAATAGTACCAACATCCTAGTGAAAAGCACCTAAAACCAATATTCTGATGAAAAATCAAAATATAGAGGATTAATAACAATTATTATTATTAGGACTGTATGGATATCAGTTAAAGTATCATATAAAGAAACATCTGTGCTTTCCAACAGCATCTACTTTGTCGTATCTAAAACAACACGACCTTTATCTTCCCTATTAACTAACAGTTAACGCCACTGTTAAAAACCAGTAGCAACTTTCTTATTCCTACACAATAAAATGGAGCTAAACTACACAAATTTCTACCACATCTTGAACTCTAAGGCTGATCCCAAATTAAGGACATAATTTTGATCTTATGTGCCTATTACAAGTCTCCTCCATGTCAGACGTTGCCTTATGGAACCTCCTGCATCCTGACTATTGCTCTAAATCTGGGATTTTTAATTTGGAGAACCTGCCTATCAATTGGTAAAAGCTGCCACCTACTGGTCAATAAGGATTATTTTACATCATCAAAGTAAAGAATTGCAACGCAGCTAAGTGTAACGGTACTTTGTGAAAAACTCTCCCCCACCTTTATAAAAAGGAAAAAAAAAACAAGAACAAATGGTCATAAGAAATAGTTTCAATGGCAAGGCTCATTTTAATCATCTCCTCCCATCCCTAGGGAACAAGAAGGCTGTAATTGCACAAACCTGCCAATAAAATCATCCCTTTTGCCAGCATCTTTGTCCCAGACAGTAATATCAATAATTCCACCTCGTTCTTCATAGAGATGAAAGTCAAACTGCTGCCTCCACTGAGGATTCAAAGTTTTTGGCACAATCTGAAAGGAGAGCAAAAAGAAAGTCCTATTGCAATGTGCAGGCATACACTTACTTGAATCGTAAATTTGATCTTTAGATCAGTAAGGTTTTTTTTCTGTTTGTAGTAAGTAATTAAGAGTATCTTAAGCAGTGAGAATTGAAAAATAGCAATTAGGAAAGACTACTGGGCAGTTCTCCCATGCCTCTCTGACACAACAGCAACCTCTAAAATCCTGCAACCTGTCACCTTCAAAAGCCTCGCGAACAAAGGATTTACCCTGGGAATGGATCCATTTTTCTGTAGAATAATTATGCCCTCTCTTAAGTGACAGCTAGCTGCAAAGTTATGTGTCTGAGCCTAAAGGAAAACAAAGCACCTGCAATGACAAGTAGATGGTGACTGTTAAGTATTCAAACAGAAACATTTTTATCATGTCCTCTCTCCTTAGCTGCAGTAATAATGGGAGAATGATGATATCACGGTTTACTTTTTACACAATGATACTCTTTTTTTTTTTGTTCAGAACTGTATTTTACTCCATTTCCTTGCAATTCAGACTAAAGCAGCCTTCTCAATCATTTTCAGTCCAGTTATTTCTGACAAAAAAAGTAACTTCAATGCCTTTCAGTCTATGTACTTCTGACCGCGTTCTGCAGAACAATAAGCTCGCAGATCTTCTACTGTAAGGCAAAAACAGTAGTCATGTCTGTCCTGAGCAAGAATCAAAACTGTCTAGGACCTTCCTCATGAAGCAATTCCTGCTTCCTACATCCACCAGTTCGGAAAAAAATGAAAAATCAGAGAGGAACAAAAGAGATGCTATGAATATCTTTACGTCACAAACACACGAAATTTGACTCATTCTAATTTTAGATTACGACGGGGTCAGGGGTCTGTGAAAGTGGCACCCAAATGCTCCAGCCCTCGTCCTCATTTTGCGTGTGAAAACCTCATGTGGGTGCGATTCTGTGTGATTCTGTGAAAACCACAGGGGCTGTCACGTCCACGGAGAGAGGAAGGTCACGTGCACTATCAGCTGTCCCAGCATCTTACACAAAACCAGCGATTTTCAAACAAACAGGGATCAGGGAAATAAAAAATTACAGCAAGAAAGACAAATAATCAATCCCCTCTGTCTGTTAAGCTCATACCTATACAAAACTTTAACAAGACTCACTCTAAGGATCCACGACAAAGTAAGGATAGACATGAGACATAGTTTGAGGATGAGATCACGCAAAGGATCCAAGAGGCAACTGACATCAAGCCAGAAAGACACAAAGGTGGTTATCAACTTGCCAGAATCACTCCACATCTTTCCTCTGCCACAAATGACCCATAATGGGAAATAAAAGCTAACGCAGTTTGTACAGAAAACCGGGCGTGTCGCCCTATGCTGCATTTTTTCCTCATCTAGTACTATTTTTTTTTATAATTGAAGGAAAACGACTAAACAAAACTCCAGGTGCTTTGACAGCATAATAACACAACAGTAAGTCTCCATCACTACTTAAACAGTCATGCAAACAAACAAACAAAAAAACGCACAAACCACAAACAAGGAACAAAATATTTCAAACACAGACAGTGTGCATTTCAGTACCTTGCTCTTGTATTTCTGATGCCCCAAACGGAACTTCACGTAAGGATCACTTAGTCCATTTGCATCCATCGCCTTCAGTTCACGCCCTTCTATCAAGGTAACACTGACTATCCCTCTCCATAGCTGAGATTTTCTGTGCATGTCTGAGAGACGTAAGCTCTGGCTCTGAAATTTTAGAGAAATAAAACCGCAGGTTTAGTTTAAAACAACTCCAAAAATATCACATGCATTTCAATATTCAATTTCATGCAACTATCAATGCAGAACAATAATCTAAAGTGATTTTGAAGTTATCTGACAGCACATACGTAAACTGTAATACAAAGAATTACCTGCAGAGAAACAAAACTGATAAATATACAGGTAATGTCATACACTGCTTTTGCAGAAGCAAGTAGAACAAACACGACACGAGGAAATGTCCAGAACACAAAGCATTTTCTTCCTGCTTCATTCCTCCCTCTGCTGATAAAAACAACATTACAAATAAACAGTACAAAGTATCACCTAATAATAAGGTATGATCGAATGAACTTGAACAAACACTAAACAGAAGAAACAGTATGAAAATGGAACTTCCATTAGAATGACACAAACCCACCATGAGAAGCATGGACCAATGAAAAACAAGTCAATAAACTCCCGTGCACATGACAACTATCTCAGTCTCTAAACTGATGTGGTATTTTCAGGAACAGCAAGGAACACCTAAAATCAGAACACTAGACAGCCAAACAATATTTGGACTTGCAAATTATTCTTTCTAGGAATCAAAAAAAAAAGAGTCTGTGTGCATGCTCAGCTGTTAATATATCAAATATATGCATTTCCTTTATTATGCAATGTAGCTTGAACAACTAAGGCTTTATAGGCTCAGTAACCCTCCGTACATGAGAGGTTGCATAGTTGGCTTCATCACCTGCACACCTCCATGATCTTCATTACAGGTAAACACAGGAACATTATTAAGCTTCATAATTTTTTTTTTTCTCAGCAAAAACACCCCTTCGTTGCAGGTCTATAGTCAATACTGCCCAAGACTGGTCTTGTGAAGAAGGCGTAGATTGCTTTTTCTTTCTTTCCATGGTTTACACCAAAAGAAAGACTGAATAGCAAATAGCCAAAACTGACTCTGCCCTGAACATAAGGCAATGACAGGTAGAGAAAGAAGAGACAAGGCTTCTTTAGGAAGATACTTTGTACTGGAAAAGAAGCAGTGGTTAACTGAGACTTGTTTTGGCAAAGAAAACCCACCACTGTTGGGTTTTTTTGAAGGGCTGAGCCAGAATTCAAATGATTTCCAGGATACTATTATGGAAAATAAGCATGAGTTGCATTTACAGTTGTTTAAGCACAACTACATAGCTCTCCACTTAGAATCACCTTTAAAAGTCATCCAGTATCACCCCCCTGCAGTGAGCAGGGACATCTTTAACTAGATCAGGTTGCTCAGAGCCCCATCAAGAGCATGAACGTCCCCAGGGATGGGGCCTCCACCCCCTCTCTGGGCAACCTGTGACCGTAAACTTTTATCTTGTCCCTCTGGCACGTCAACCACACCTCTCAGCTTGATGTCATCTGCAAGCTTGCTGGTGATGCACTCGATCCCACGGTCTCTGTCCTCAATGATGATGATGTTAAACAGCACTGGTCCCAGTATGGACCCCTGAGGGACACCTTGTCACCCATCTCCAGCTGGACATGGAGCCACTGACCAGTACCCTCTGGGTGCGGCCGGCGAGCCAATTCCTCATCCACCCAACAGCCCACCCATCAAATCCTTGTGCCTCCAACTTAGAGAGAAGGGTCTTGTGGGGGACTGTGCCAGAGGCCTTGCAGCAGTCCAGGCAGACGACAGCCCTTGCTCTTCCCTTGTCCACCGACACAGTCACTCTGTTGGAAAAAGCCACGAGGTTGGTCCCACAGGACTGGCCCTTGCTGGAGCTGCTCTGGCTGTCCTGAACCACCTCCCTGTGCCTCAGCAGAGCCTCTGGGAGGATCTGTTCTGTGTTCTTCCCACACACAGAGGTTAGGCTGACCTGTCAGTAGGTCCCAGAGTCTTCCTTTCTAGCCTTTCTAAAGAGGGGTGTAGTGCTTCCCTCCTTCCAGTCCCCAGGGACCTCACCTGACTGCCAGGGCTTTTCAAATACCATGGAGACTTCACTAATCACAAATGAGGCAGCGAACCATGTAGAGAGTCTACTGGATCTAAATTCTGTATTTTCAACCGCTTCTAAAGTAATTTGCTGCACTAGAGCAGCTGCCACCACATAAAACACACTGATTTTTTATGACCAGTGGGGAGTTTCATCAACGGGTTGATTTACGTATAAGGTAGAATGACAAGACTGAAATGACCATGTACAGACTGAACAGTATCTGAACAGATATCTAAAACATGCTTTCATTCAGTTAAAAGTCATCTTTACCCTCAGAAACCACGGACAGTGACATAATCTCTAATTTCACATAGTCTTTCTTGCAGGAAGCAAAATAAACAAACACAAATGTTTAGATTTCGAGTCTAATCTGACAAAAAATGGGAAAATAAGACTGATTTCTCATTTTAGAGTTCTCCCTTCATGAATTTAATTTGGCAGTGTGAGACAGGTACATCACTTCTAAGGCACATTTTTAGGTATCTAAGCAACCTTCTGTAATCCAGGCCACAGTGAATTAGTTACCAAGTCAGGAGGGAAAATATGTGAGTAAAACAAAGCAACAGAAATGAACAAAGATCCTTCCAAATTTCTCCTATGAAGGAACGTTTCTCAGACTAATTCTTAGGTAACTTATTGCCCTCTGAAAGAAGGTAAATGCATATCTGCACCCTGGTTTCATTCTTCTGCCACAAACAAACAGACAAAAATGTGAGGAAACCGCACAGCTTCTCATGTCTCTAAAAACAGGTGGGAAGTTACATATTTCACAGTATTTCCATCTGGAACTGGCCACACTGTTCACAAAATGCCATAATTTGGAAAGAAGAAGGGTCAAGACCTCAGGCCACAAGGAGCTGTCATTAATGTGGGATTATTATTCACATTTCTGAGCATTTACAAATTGTAGGCAGGCATGGAGATTCCCATCTAACATGCTCTAAATAAAAAAATAAAGAGGGTTGGGGAAAGAAGTCGCAGCCTGCACATCGTGAAGCTTTCTCTCTCTTTTTCCAAAAGGAAATTAAAATTAGATTTCTGAAAAGGAGTCTTTTGTGCCAAAGTATAATGCAAAGCCGCCTGTAAAAGGAAAATTCACATCTTTTCCTGTCCACACACTGCTTTAATGTTTCCATTATAAACACCATGAAAAAACATTTTTAAATGATAAAATTACCTTTTCTTTGTGTTCTACCTATTCTGCCTAAATGTAGGGTAGTGAGAGGACCAGGGATGCCAACAGCAGAAAACCTTCTGACACAGAACTTGAATCCTCCGTTAGGTATGATCAATACAGTTACCCAAATGCAATGGCAGAGACAAAAGATGATCTTGTAACACTGTTCAATGTTTTGCACATGGTCATTTATTACTTGACAACTGGCTTTGCCAGAATCTGGGCGTCATTCCCTGGTTCGTCAAGAACATGTTCTTGAAGAGTGTATAAATTGCCACAACTTCACTGTCACTTTCTTCAAAAGGGATGCCTTTAACACGTCTTTATCTTTGGATAATAAATAGCTGAACAACAGACAGAAATGGAACGGTGTGCCTACCACAAACGTATTTATTTAAAAAAAAAAAGTAAATACACAGTGCAGTTGTATGTCTTGTACAGGCACCTCTATGCAAACAACTACTTTGGCTTGGAAGCTTTAGAGAAAATAACAATCCAGAAAATAATGAAAGAATTCAGAGAGGAATGACACTCCTTTCCGTTGCCAAAGAGAGGACAGAAGTGCAAAAATAGTCATGAATCACACTCAGTGCTGGAAATTACGCTGCAAGCTCAAGTAAATAGAACTCTTCTCATCCAGTTCCTAGGACGCTTGCCTGGCTTGGATAAGACATTTAAAGTAAAGATTCAGAGTGTCAATAGATAGAGCTGCCAATTCCACGTATTGTCTATGCAATGAAAAAAAACTGAGGGGCAGTCACACATATTCACAATGCTTTTCCTCTGTTAGAAGCTACACAAAGTATAACACCTTGCAGAAATCATTAGCATGTAGACACTGAGCTAAAAAAACTGCCTTCAAGGGGATCATGATGAATCGTTTCCAAATGCATGCTTGTTGTGACTAAATAAGTTGTGTAAATGAGCCCCTACTGGTAATTACTGCAACATGAAAAACCATTTATCTTAACTTTCCGTTGATGATATTTTACATTGCAGGATATTTTAATCCTAGGTGAAGCTAAGCTAAGTTTCTGTAGCTGAGAAATTTACATTGCCCTATGGGTGTTTTCAGTATGATTGTCACGTTAAATCTGGTTTAAGATGTTTGCTCTAACAACACAATGATGTTACTGTGGGAGAATCTTGTGGTGACTCTACACTAACAGTAAGAGCCGATACTTCTGCAGCATTTTATGCATTTTTGGACTTAGGAAATCACAAAAATGTGGTTGTAATAAGATGAAGGCTGAGACTGTTAAGCACTCGCTATGACTTGCATTCTTGGGAAAAAGGTGGAAATACAAGACAATGGTGTGCTGACAGAGAGAGGCTGTGTCAGTATGATCTGAACTTTCTCCCTTGTTTTCTTCTCAGCAACTCCTTTTGGCAACTGTGGCTGCAGTCTGTGAAAGACCATGGGTCCTGACGATGTGGTTATTGCCTGGGATTACCAGTGTCACCACACTCCCTGTTCTTTCAGAATTGTGGGCATGAACCCAGAAAACCCCACAAGAAATGCCTCTCAGCTGTTTTGATCGTTAACATTACCAGCCGCTACCTCTCACACACAAGTGATGCAAATGTATGCCTCACCAAATACTTGCATAATTTTTATAACCAGATGTCTAGCAGACAGGTGAATCTACTCTGACTTTTTTTACCTCTGTTCCATTATTTAGTAGCTCCCCATCAAGCACTATTTACAGCTGATAAATTGACATCCAGAACTTCATGGCTAAAAAAGCGTTTTCTCAATTTTAGATGGTTCTTCCTAAAATCACAAACCCAGTAATTCTACCTTCTATTCTGAAATTCCACAAAGTTTAGGTTGA